AGTAGCAGATGATGGGGGTAGTAACAAGAAGAGAAAATATCCAAAAGAATGGATAGAAAGACAAAAATGGAGAGGAGTTTCTGGGAAATTACTCAGTGTTCCCTTGGGCTTCTCTCTCCGTCTTTCTTTGACATCTCCCCAGAGTGCCTTTCCTTCTCTCCTGCATGCCCTCACTGAGAAGATGGCCTCCAAAGCTCACGGCTTGGCCTCTGCTCTTCCTCCTCAGTACCTACTTCTTTGGGGCCCATGTCCATTGCTCCAGCTCCTGTGATGTGCACACATGCCCACATCTAATGCTCCAGGCTTTGACTTCACTGCATTTCTCTTTCCACAGTTGGTGATGGGATCTTTCCATAGGCAAATATGCTTAGCTCAACTGGAAAACAGCATATCAAAATTGAAACTCTTCTTCCCTTTGAAAACCTGAAGCCTTGTCCTACACCTGAGTTCCTTGCAGTGTTTCCATGTTCTCCCAGGCCCCCAGATGGAGAATTTCCATGTCATTCTTGACTTACGGCTACTTTGCTCTCTCTTCCCCAACTCACTTTGTAGCCAGGTCATGGTGATTTTTCATTTGGTGCAAAACCCATGCTAGTAGGTTTGCTTGGACAGTTCCTTTTGTCAGCCTTTTGCAAATAGAATGGTGCTGTGCGTGCGTTACTACCAATTGGATCCAATGGGAATCCCAAGTCATAGTGAAAAATGTTGGCTGCTCAGTGGCAAAACCATCACGAGACAGCTTATTAGATTTATCAATCCCTGAGTCCCACATCCTCTTTAGTCTAAGGATGGGGCCTGGAATCTGCAATTGCAACAAACTTCCCCGGGGAGTCTGATGGTGGACTGCAGACCACACTTGGAGCAACACTAGCTTACATTGTCTTCTGGCTTTGTTCCTTCCTTTTTTTCCCACAACTCCTATCCCTGCCCCGGATGGCCCTCATCACCTCACACCTGGATTACAGCAACAGGTGGCCTTCCTGCCCCTAGCCTTGCCCTGTTTCAGCCTCCCCAGCTGCCCGGCACCTATCTTCTACAAATATCTTTTGCATCACATCACTTCCCTGCTCAGATGCCTACCATGGCTCTCTCAGATCTACTAGATCCTATCTCAGTTCATTTCCCTGTTCCCTCCCATCCATCCATGCTCATAGGTCATTCTGAAACTACATGTTAGACCCTCTGCTATTTTGAAGTTGGTCTCCTTCCTACCTCCTTCCCCTGGGACACTTCTGGTTATAAAGGAGGAATTATAAACATTTTCTATTCTCCATGCTGTTTCTCAATGCCATCTGCTTCCTCACCACCCTGGCTCTGCTATTGACTAGCTATAGGACTTTGGGCAAGTTGCTTAACCTCTCTGTGCCTTAGTTTTCTCATCAGTAAAATGGGGATATAATTAGTACATACTTCATAGGTTTGTGGACAGGATTTAAAGAGTTAACAGATGTGAAAGGGCTTTGAACAGTGCCATGTCAGTGTGAGCCATTATTATTAATTATTGTTATTATCACCCCTTTCAGCCAGCTCCTCCCTGGAAACCACTTCTTCTTACAATAGCTAACTGATGGAGCTCTCTGTCAAACTTTTCCTGATCTAGCAGAGGTGGTTAAGTATTTGGGTTTCAGTGAGCTTCTGGGCATGAGACAACCTGAGGAACTGGGCTGTCTACAAAGCTCTAATTATGCCCATTAATTTCTAGCCAACTAGGAGAAGACAAGGGGAGACTCTGAGTGTAATTTGAAAGCAAGATTTTTCCAGGAAAAGTACCATGACGTTAGGACAACTTCAAAATATCTTAAGCGAGTCATGAGCCTTTCTTGGGAAGTCCTTTCCTATGGTCTTTCTCAAGTTGTTCTTGCAACACTTCAGGTCCAAGTGGCCCCTGCCTCTTTATCTACTCACTCCCTGGGTTCATTCTCACAGCCTTCTTGGAACACCTTCCTCTAGGCTGGTTCCCAGCGTGTGGGACTTGCACCTTGTGTCCCAAGCAGTCCTTGTCTGTAAAGAATGCATCTCTCACATTTTTGTTCTAGTTTTCAAATCCATGTCTATGCTTTTGTGATGAACACAATAAATTCCTTTAAAAGTCCCTGTGGAATTCACAGTCATTGTTTGTCATTCTGTGCTCTCTCTCAATGAACACTAAAAGTTCAACTACTATCGGGGTGGGGGGTGGCCAGAGAATATTTTTTGACATTTACAAGGGGCCCTTGTAGTCACAAAGGCTGTGAACCACTGCCCCGTGGGCTATGTGGGAGGCATGGGAGCAGCACAGAGCCCTCTGGCTCTCAGTTTTCTTGTCTGCCAAATGGAGGTAAATAAGAACTGCTTCTTTTCCTAAGGGCAAGAAACGGAATGTTCTGCATTCATGAGGAGAGTGCCCTTGTGATCCTTGCTGATGTGATGAGAGGACTGGACGTAGTGATGCTCAGATGAGATAATAGATAGAGAAGCACTCGGAAAGGTGGCATCCACTGCTACTGTTGTTGTTACTCTTTTCCTTGTTCTGAGTCCAGCTGAATCCCCTGAGCCCAGAACCCCAAAGTCTATGAGTCTTTCCAGGACCAATATGTTCTCTTGCCATGCCCCACGCCTAGTTGGTTCTCTGTGGAACAAAAACAACAACAAAGCAGCTCCTATATGCGACAGACAAACATCCACCCAGTTCCTCTTATCTAGTCTAGTAACCACTGTGGGCTCAGAAGTTGCAATGTTTGTCTCTGTTTAGTCAGCGTTGCCTAGGAAACTAAGTTGTTCTCTCTTTACCACTGTGTGACTGTGGGGTAAGTTTTTCCCCCTTTCCTGTAGGGAAGGACTTGATGACCAAAGAGGCCCTCTCTGCCTCTTTGCCCAGCTGCTGGGCTATTTTTCAGTTTCCCTTTTCACAGGTCGGGTCTCCTTCAGTTGGAAATGGGTTGTGGGAAGTCTCCAGCTTGTTTTGAAAGGGGGAGGGATGTTCGAATAAGTGGGGATTGTGGAGAGCTGGGTCAGGGTGGGGGATGGCTGCCCCGGTGGCTTTGAACATTCTAGTCTGAAGTTGGTATTTGTTCCAGCAGCAGCGAAATCACCACATGCCATGATCAAATTAACAAATGTAGGCAATGAATCTGGCAGCCTGAGTAGAGAGGTGGGAAGCTGGTGGGAAAATTGGGATCCGAGAGACCAGCAAGCAGGGCACACTGCAATGTTCTCACCAGAATTTTGGTGACTGGAAAAAAACAGGCTACCTTTACAGAGAAGGCAGCATGTCATTTTGATTCTATTTGGGCAATATTTGGAGCAAGGGAAGGAGCCAAGACATCTTGGTCACCTTGAAGTTTGTGGCCTAGGAGAAGAGAGTTCTGTTACATTTCAAGTGGCAAAAGAATAATTATACATGTGAGAGAAAGTTAAGGTTGAATGGAATCGCTCCCATAAGAATGATAGTCTCCCTTATGGGGAAGTGGGCTTAGGACACAGCTCTTGGTCCAGGGTGGGTCCTGGTTAGAGTGTGGTAGAGGAGACACTGAATAACTATTAGACAGACTAGCAGAGAACTGGGCAGGACTCCAGGTGCCAAAGATATGTGACTGGGGAAAGTAATTGGTGATAGTGAACCTTAAGTAGAGGCAGAGGAGGGGAGCTGGAGGTAGGACCATCAGACGTGGCCCTGCTCATGAGGCCGGTGGATTTTGTGAGAGAACTTTCAGCAATGACAAGTGGAGAAGCAGGGGTTGAAAGTATCTTTCTGGGGCCATGGGTAGTGGACCTCAAATGGTCTGCATCCCTTTCAAGGCCCTCTTAGCTCCTTTGCCAAGGTCAGTGGTCCCATGGAGATTGGTGTTAGGGAAATGCATTAAATGATTCTGATGATGTTTATTTGGTTTTCTCCTTGCTCCCTCACACACATATTCTGCCCTTTTCTTTTGGAGATTCTTGGGGTATCCTGCTTCTCAAATCACCCCCTCAGACTGAGGTTCCAGGTTCAAGTCACCTTGCCACCCACTCTGAAGCTCTCATATGAAGGTAGAAGCAGGCCAGAGCAGTATGAATGTGGGTCTCAATTCCATTTGGCTCTAATAGCTGTGTGACTTTGGGCAAGTTACTTTGACTTGCTGACTCTTGGTTTCCTTATCATACAATGAGGGAAAAGGGCATGCCCTTCATATTAGTATTGTGAGGGGCAGCACACAGATGGAGTATGGGCCTGGCACTTAGTGGGTGGTTAACGGGTGTTCAGTGAGTCAAACTACTACTACCACTCACCACCCTGTGAGAGGCACCTACTGCCCAGTTCATTCATGCTCAGTCAGACACCAATTTTATTTTTAGAAAAAATGAGAGCAAAGTTTATTGAAATTTCAAGCTACATTTGGACACACAAAAAAATCCAAATCCTGGAGACAGACATCAGGATAAGGTGTCAGAAAGTGGGAAGTGTTCACTGTCACAGAAACCCCTGGAGACAAGCTCCCTGAGCACATTACCCAGGCAACATAAGGTCAAAGCCATTCCCTTGTCCATCACAGGACACCATCATGTCAATCGCTCTGCTCACTTGAAAGTTTTCCACAATAACAATAATAATAATAAAGTTTTTAAATGGCACTGTGAAGTCCAAGCTAATCTTCTCTCAACCCCATTCTATTTAGTCAGCACCAGTGAATGGTGGGTTTGGTGTTCAGAAGAGGACCTCACATGCCTTCAATGGACAGATGAGGAAAAGGTTGCAGCAGCAAGGCATCTGTGGCCACATTCTGAGGCTGGCCTCCTTCCCTGCCTTTACATTCTCAGCTTACTTAACCTAGAGGACAAACTGGATCAACTTGGTAAATGAACACAGTCCAACAATTAGCCATAAGAGACAAGGGACCAGACAATACTCCCAATACTCCCAAAGCTGGTTAGGCCCTTCGACATGTAGGTGTATGTGTATATGAATACATCGCTACACTAAGATATAGATCTAGCCCTATGGGTATATATATGCATTTATGGCTATATAGAAAAACTATGCCAATACTAACCAAACAGAACTTTGTAAGCGGTCATCCCAAAGCTGTTACCCCACACTGGGCTGTGCACAAAGCCATGCATTACACCATATTAACCAACAGAAGGCTGATTTGGCTCGATCTCTCCCATCTGTTCCCCCTGCCTTGACAAGGCAGAGGAGAAGAGAGAGGTTGCCTCTGCTTAAAACACAAGTGGCTTCTTCATAGGAACAGTCGTCAAGTGAAGCTGTTGAAGATGTCCATGGAAATGAGAAACAGACCCCTTACACCTTCTGGAGCAAACTGGCATCTCATCTCGAACTACCTCTCACCTTTGCCAGTTGCAGCTAACTTATCCAGGCCCTGGTAACCCTGAGGGCACCGTAGTGTTAGAGGCTCACTGGCTTGGGGTGACTAAGCCCCATGCAACTCAGCCTCCAGAGACCTGCTCTTTGTCAGGGGTCTGTCACTGGAGTGGACCCAGGTGGCCATGTCCTTGGGACATCTCTTGGCACCAGCTATGCTAGGTGTAAAGTTCTCCACGTGAGATGACGCTTGGGGAGCCAAAAACAAACTGGAAAGAACTAGGTAGAACAAGTTTAGTGGCTCTGCCCACCGCGAGGACAGAGCCACTTACACCGCAGAACCACCGGGGGCCTCTGGCGCTCGTGGGGACTCAGCAGCCGGCTCTTCTGGGCTCAGACGAGACTGGAACTTCTCCAGCTGTTCTGGGCTGGCCAGGGTCTTCAAGAGGGTGTTCTCACGCTCCAGCTGGGAGTTCTTTTCCACCAGCTCTCGGATCTGCTCCTTCAGGATCTCCACCTCCTCTCTCACAGCATACATCAGGTGATTCTTCACCAGATCCTGCCAGAGACAAAAGAACACCCACCACGCCATTCATTAGCCAGACACGACCACTTTGCAGCACCTTCCCTCTGCCGCTGGTGTGCCTGAACAGTCCCTCATACTGACAGCCCCCCAGGGCCCCCTGGACAGCCCCTCAGCACCCTGGTCCTCCAGCTCCTTTCTTCATGCATCTTCCTCCGGAGCACCTAAATCCCCACTCTGGAGAGCTAGATGCTTTGGGACATGCCTGAGGTGGGATAGCTTTAAACTGGACAGGACCACCTTTCCCAGCATTTCAAATGGCTTTCAAAGCTGGCTGCTTAGGGGCCTTTGGGGTGAGACTGCTGTGGGTTGCTGGTTGTTTGTTATGTCCCCATTGCACCAGCAGGTTCTGAGGCTGGCCCAGATCCCAGGAAGGACCTGCAATGCACCCCGCACTGTTTGTCTGCTTTACAAATCTTCACTGACAGAAGAAACTGGGCTCATGGCATCTCCTCCTTTCCCCTGACCCAGCACACTGAGTCTGCAGCTGTTTTGCAGCAAGGCCAGACAGGACACCAGGCTTGGGGAGGGCCTCAGGGGTGGCTGCATCCTCTCTGCAAGTGATGACTGCACTGGGGGCGGGGAACTGTTGTCAGTAGGCTCCAGGGCACAATTAAGTGGCTGCTAACTGCTGGAAGACCCAAACCCCTGAAGGAAAGTTGGCAGCTTTGTGGAGTAAGATCTCTACTTGACCGAGAGGCAGAAGGGGTGGGGTACTCTGCTTCCTGTTTGCTTCCAGCTCCTGACCCCAGCCCAGGCTCTGCAGAGGCACTGCAGTGCGGTTACATCCAATGAGGTCTTCCCCCTTGTCAACTGCGCCATGCGGACCAATTCAAGGTCCTGAGCTCTGGCCGCTGTAAGCCCAGGAGAGGAATCAGAGGCTGCAGCAAAGCCCTGGGATGGAAAAGGAGGGGCAAAAAGGGGAGCCCAGCAAGGGCAGACTGGAACTGCCCTCAAAGGTGCCACTTGAGGTATCTCTTCAGAGGGATGGGAAGTGGGCTGTGGAGTTCCTCAGGCGTTTGTGCCTGCCCCTCGGTCCTGCCCCAAGTTACATAAGCAGTAGCTAGCTCCGAAGATGGGGTTGTCGCAGTGAGGCCACTCACCATGGCCTGCTCGATCTTGTTGTCTAAGGCCACCACGCTGGCTCCCGAAGCGCTGCCAAGACAAAAAGCAAAGCGACAGTGTTAGCCACCCATTTCCACTCTGAGTACCTGGTAGCTGTAGCCAAAGTCCTCCATCTCCTCGGCTCTCCCTCTCTCCCGCCTCCTTGGCTCAGGGTGCTGGGCAATTTGTCCCCAGATCCCTTCCTGGCCCCTGCAGGAAGCTGCACGTCCCCACCCAGGCTGGCTTGCCGCCGCTGCCCTGAGCGCAGACTGGAGCGGCGCGCGGGGGGCCCCGGGTGGCTCAGACTAGCGCGGGGCCTGCTCACCCAGCCCAGACAATGTGCAAACAATAGGCGGAGAGCCGCCCAGGGTCGCTGCAGCTGGCCCAACCCAGAAGATCTCAGGCAAACCTACCTGGCTCTGAAGCTACCTAGGAATTCCCGCACGGCTGGGAAGCCTCCGGCCCGGCCTCCCCAGCGGCGCGCGCGGCGCGTCGACAGCCCCCTGCCCAGCCGGGTCCCGCCCTGCTGTGCCCGGCCCGCAGCCCCTCTGCTGCTACCGCTGCGGCAGCTCCTTCTCACCGCGCAGAGGCCTCAGGGACGCTCCAACGGCGGATCCCAGCGCGACGGTGACACCCCCCCTCCGCGTCCCCTTCCCCCGCCCCTTCCCAGGATGCTGCACCGCGGGGGAGCGGGAGACCAGCGGCACCGCGCTGGTTCGGAGATCTCACTGGAGGCCAGCCACCGCCTGCACCCGGCTCTGCTCGGAGCGGGGCTGGGGCCACTGATTTACCTGTTATCCAGCTTAACGGAAACCACATCCCCTCCAAGCAGTGAAGAGAAGAAGGAGATGGAGAAATTGCGCAGCTGATAGACCGCCACCTCCATGGGGGTCTGATACATTTCAGTATTCATGGTTCTGGCTGCCAAGGAGCTCTGGACCAGCAGCGAGCCGGGCTGAGCGGGCTGGGCGGCTGCAGCTGCAAGCACACTGCACCGGATTAGGCTGTAGGAGGCCGGCTTGGGGCTAGGAGTGGGTCGCAGGCTGCCGAGCAGACCCAAAGTCAGGCAGGCGCTTCAGCTGGAGTTGAAGGGAAATGACTCGAGGGGTGTCAGCTAGTGTGTCACAAACTCCACAGCCGCCAGTCCAACCCAGACTCGAAGATATTTCTGCTCCTGTTTCTTTATATAGGAGGAGCCTGCTGCGTCACATGGCGTCAGGGGCCATGCAAATGAGTCCTGTACCGGGCTTTGTGGCCCAGTTAAACCACATCCCCTCCCTGAACCTTCGGCTGGAACTGTAAACAGTTCAGCAGTTTCTTGTGCCAACTGGCATCTCCAAAGAGGGCTCTGAAGCTTGGTAAAAACCAAACTGGAGCTGAACCTGAGAGACTTCAGATTTCTAGAGAACTAAAATGCACAAATGCTATAACAGGAGGGAGAAATATCTCAGTAGAGGGCGGCACGGGGACAAGTTTGCAAAGCTCTTCTTGAGGTGGCAGCCAGCATACCCTGATGGCTTTGCAAGGCTCGCACCCCTCCCTAGACACCCACCCCCACATCAAGAGCCTCACGTTCTTCCCACTGCTTGCCCTCTCGGCCTCTCTCCTGCACACATACTTTGTCACCTACATGTCCACTCCCCCATCCACTCAGCTGTCTCTTCACCCAGCCAGCCGGCAGCAATCCCCTCACCCCCTCCTACTAGCTCAGGAGCTAATCGGTGCATGCATGTGTATGGAGGAGAGGGCATCCAGGAGCTCAGATGAGTGAATGCACATGGAGACGGAGCAGCTGGTGCTAGGTGGGTGCCAGAGGAGGTGGTAAGGAGGCAGGGTGGGGGAGTGGGCACTGGAGTGACCGTGACATACCAGTCTGATTGCCCCATGCAAAGAAAATACAGTCTACCCTATCGAGGATCTCATGTCCATAATTTTTCTATTTAAGATTTTTTACTTTCATATAAACAGCAAATGGCAACAAAACTACAAACCAAGGCTATGTATAAACCATC